GTAGGTATGTAGGCCTTGAGACCTTTTGTTGGAAAGTGAGCCTGTTTGGTTTCCTGCTGGCCAGCGTTGCGTCGCCCAATGAGATGACCTGAAAAGATGACCAGCTGACCTAACCCCTAACCCCTCCTTCTTGCTCTGGTATATCTCCGGTGGATCCCTGGCGTTCGGTCTCTCTTCACATGCTGCCCCGAGCGAAAGGATCTCCGCAGCACGCGAACCAGGGCAGGAGTGAGCCGGCATTACTCCTTAACCATTACAATATAATTGTAATATATTATGTTGTATTGTAATGATTGTATTGCATTGTCATATTGCCATTAAAGTAGATTATTGTTAACGGTTACTTTGTAGATATGGATTCCTTCCTGTATTATAACCAGCTTGATAGGGACGCGCGGAGATTTGAAAAGCGGGCCAGTTTGCCCTCTAAATCTCTAACAAGGCTTAGCCAGTGTGTATTTCTTCCTGCACTACAAGATTTCGATGTGTACAAATCTGGGCCATTTATTGTGTCATTTCTCCAAACAAATACAGTACACATGCCTGTATTGGAGTCTTAAAAAGGTGCAGTAGAAGGACTTTAGCAGCATCATAAGAGGCCAACAAGAGTGACAGGGGTGTGTCACTGTGCTGAAGGAAAGTTGTGAACAGCTATCAGGATAGTCTCTAAAGACTTTCCAAGGGGTAACAATGCTGCTGCTGGAGTACTGATCTAGTGGATCTAGTGTTGATGTCATCTGTCTACCATATCCTCTTAAAATACTCTGTCTAACATGTTCTGTACATTACATTACATGTCATTTGTTAGACACTTTTATCCAAAGCGACTTACATACATTCAGTACTATGGACAATCCCCACAGGAGCAATTTGGGTCGAAGTGTCCTCCCCTGATTCGAAGTCCAGCACACCATCCACTGAGCCACAGCCTCCCAGTATTGTGAACGCTTTTAACGCTTATTAAATATAGCAGAACACATGCATTATTCTACTCAGGAGGGGAGTTTGACAGGGGATTACTCAAACACTTGATTGTACTTGTGGGAGTAGTCCAAGTAGTACTGACTCCAACAGTATCAATTTCATGTACAGTAGAACTTGTTGCAAAAAATCATTTTATCCCTCATCAAATATAGCAGAATACATGGATTATTGTACTCAGGAGGGGAGTTTGACAAAGGATTACTCAAGAAGTACACAGTAAAAATACTTTATTGTACTTGTGGGAGTAGTCCAAGTAGTACACAGCAAAAACCACAGTGTACATTGTACTCTATAAGAGTACATTTAACACCAGTCTCTGGGTGAATATAGGTCCAAGAGTTTGGTGTTCTCTGAACACTGTAAAAAGTGTAAAATATAAACTCCAAATAAAGAGTTTGATTTGAACACTTTGGGAGTCAAAATATACTCTCCAACAGTCCCAATTGTATTAAGAACTTATGGCAAAATATCATTTTATCTCTCATCAAAGATAGCTAAAAACATGCATTATTGTACTCTGGAAGGGAGTTTGACAGAGTATTACTCAACAAGTACACGGTAAAAGTACTTCATTGTATTTGTGGTAGTAGTCTAACAAGTACTGAATCCAACAGTACCAATTGTATTAAGAACTTATGGATACAAATCGTTTTATCTCATCAAATATAGCAGAAGTGGCATGATTTTCTTCTCAGGAGGGGACTTTGAGAGAGTATTACCCAAAAAGTACACAGTAAAAACTTCATTTTATTGTAGCAGTCAAACTAGGACTGAGTCAAACAGTGTCAGTTTTATTAAGAACTTATGGTACAAATGACTTGTATTGCAAATAAAGCAGAAAAAAACATGCAATATTTTACTCTTGTACAGCAATTACCGTAAAGGCGCTATTCATTGCACACTCAAAAATGAATAGCTGCTGATTTGACCAAGCGAACGCGAGAGACGGCTGAGTTGACCGCAGTTATGCAACAGCAACCGAAGCTAAACTGACTATCTTGACTACTTGTTGCTATCCTATTGTGGCATAAGCCGTTTTCTACAGGCACGTTATACCTTTTCATTATGATTCTACTTATGATAGTCCGACAGCACTGTAGTGTTGTCATCTAGTATGTGTATCTTGCTTTATTATAGACAACTCAGGAGACAGCGAGTATCGTTAACTGTGCTTTATTCCCGCTCTGTACTCCCTAATAACTGGTGTCACACATATCACATTCCGGGTATCCACAACTCCGGACCAAATAGTATGTCACAACATTACAAGCACAACCTGTGCAGCCCATGTATTGATTCCATCTGATAGCTGCTACAATACAAAACAACAATTCTGCCTGCCCTCCACAATGATCAATGACAGTGAACGGATGGTCAAAGTAAGGTACAAATAAACAGAATCACACGAAGCCTGGTTAGTGTTGCCTGACATTGTAAAGTGTGTTATTAAGTGTGTGGTTGCGTTCTAGTAACTTTGCTCAGCGCTACTGCTTGTTACAACTTTCATTTTCCGTAGGGCTACTCGCCATAAACTGTTATTATGGCTCAGGTTAATCTCGCCCCCTTCTGACGTGAGCGTGGTTCTTTAGAGCCGGCGGCTCCGCTGCGGCTGAAACAGGAAGAACCAGAGCTAAATCAGGCTGTAGCCCGGAACTGGCTCTGGACTCAGAACCAGAGAAGAACCAGTTAAGCACCAGAAAAGCACAAGAACGGTTCTTGAACCGGAACCGGTTTGGTTTATTGGCAGTTTGCAAACCACTTAAGAGTACTGGAGTGTGAAACAAGAGCTATTGAGTCAGTGTTGTGGTGCTGTTGCTTTGGTCTGGATCTGTGAGCTAACCACGCCCCGTTCATTTGCATATAAGGAATGGAAATGTGTCATTATGAAATACAAGTCCCATGAAATAAATAAATGTGTCATTATGAAATGCAAGTCTCTTGAAATAAATAAACGTGTCATTATGAAATAAAAGTCCAATGAAATAAATAAATGTGTATTTAAATGTACATGTATACATATTTATTGCCTCATTTATTTATTTCAGAATGTATTTCATAGGTATATTTATGTTTTATTTTTTTATTTATATATATATATGTATTTATTCAATTATTTATTTATTTATTTAATGTTGGCTTAAATGGCATTCCATAGTTGTCAACGTGGGAGTTTAACGTCAACAGCCGATTTAAGAAGAATGCATGAATGGAGAGTTATTCCTCAATCATGGTTATTGGAGTCTTACCCCCAGTTTCCACTGGGTCCGTCTGCGCCGCACTGCGCCGCGCCGCGGTTTTGGTCCGACCTCCTCTAGCGCCATAACCCACCGGACGCGTCCCAGAAGCGTTTCAGAAGCGTAGCATCGTGCGTGCAGGCTCGCAGTTTTGTTATTGATTCGGGCATCCTGGACATTTGTACTTCTACAAGAAAGTAAGTAGGCTACGTAGTTAAATGTTTTATTTTTGTGTCTGTTTAAATTGTGTTTATTGAATGGCTCTGTACTGTACCTACAAGTATTAATTAACTTTAAAACATTAATATGTAGTTACCTTCCACTCCACAAACTGCAGCGACTAAAAACCAGGCCTTGTCCTTTCTGATGTTGTCCTTGTAGTAAGCATTGGTTACATCATATAAAATAGTGTGTTTTTCCACTTCCATGATGAAAACCTCATTGTCCATTGTGCGTATCGTAGTGGAGGTGTTGTGATGAAGGAGGGGGGTCTGCTAAATTAGTATATGTGGGGCCTGGCCCGGATGCTCACCTTTCCACTTCCTGCGAGGGGGGGCTGCCTGCCCGACCTTAAGTTACGGCTGTGCCGCGGCAAAAATAGGATTCATCCTAATTTTAGAGAAGCGCTGCACTGAGCCGCTTCTGGGACGCTTCTGGGACGCTTCTGGGACGCGTCTGAGCCGAGACGCGTCTGAGCCGTAACACGGCGCGTGTGGTGGAATAGCACCCATTGACTAGAGTGGCCGCGATCCTTACGACCTCCGCGGCGTAGCCGTAACGCGGCGCAGCCGTAACACGGCGCAGCGCGGCGCAGACGGACCCGGTGGAAACTGGGGGTTACTGTCGCTTTCATAAGATGCAAAATATATACTATTAATATAATAGCCTTTTTTTAAACTTCCATGTACATTTGTGTTCTTTTCTCTTATATAGTTATCCTTCCAATCCAAGTATTGCTTGAATTTCTTAAGTTTATATATCTTATTATATTTTGGCTGATTTTAAGAAAATAAATTCAATTAAACCCATATTTTGCTTTTTTAAAAGCTCATTAAGATTAAAAACCCCTTTTTTCACATGAGTGTTTTTTGTAATTCTAACGTTTTCAGGGACAGATTACACAGACCGATTTAAGAGCAATTACAAAGTTTTATTTCCCAATCTTCAGTTTAGAAAATACAGAGTTCATGTTGCCACCCCTGTGATTTCAGACAGCTGCAGCATCCAGATACACAATGGGTACTATTTGTGGGGCGGCTTGTGGCAGAGGTGTGAGACTGCCAGGAGGAGTTAATAACAGCTGAATTTGTCACTGCCAATTGCACAAAACAAAGAGGTGTGGGGTTCCAAGGATGGGCACAGTAGCACATCACATGAGCAGATACGGGGGCACCTATGGCCACTTTGGACCCCACAGGCTGCATATGTCTGAGCAGACCCTCAGGAATAGATAAGCTAATGGCGCATTTCCACTGCAGAGGGTAGCCCCGTTTAAGCGTCCTTAACCGTCCTCAAGCGGCCAGGCCAATTTTTGGTGGCCTTTCCATATAGCCTAGCACCGGCTAGCGGGTACTTTTTCCCTCTTTTTCCGGCCCCATAAAATCGTGGTTCTATCAGGCCAGGGCCAGGGCTGAACTAGTGACGTCAACACTCTTGACTGCTGATTGGTCAGAGAGAATCATCACAAGATCGCGCGCGAGATCATCCCTAGCGTCGCATATATGTCTAGAAGCAAGCTTGCAGCATTTTTGTAAACGGAGGAGCTACAAAAATGGCAACGTCGAAGAAAAGCACACCGTGGTCGACCGAGGAGGTGACGACGTTCCTAAATCTCATTGGGGATGATAAAATCCAGCGGGAGCTCGACGGAACAACTCGAAATGTGAAAGTGTTCCAGGATGTCTCTGCACAGATGTCCGCGGATTTTCGAGGACTTTCCTGCAGTGTAGGGAAAAAGAGATGAAGAGTGAATATCGCCAAGTAAAGGACAACAATAACACGAGTGGTGCGGGTAGGAAACAATGGAAGTGGTTCGACTTGTTGGACCAGATTTACGGCCATAGACCGGCCAACGTTGGGAGGGAGGGAGGCCTGGACTCTGCAACGGCTTTACTGGAGTCCCTGCAAGGTACGCTCACTTCTAACAAATAAGTCTATTTTAATCCTTACATTAATGTTCGACAACCCATGCTTTTATGGAGCCCCGAAGAGCTACATAGCTAGCTAAGGCAGATAGCCTAGGCAGATAGCCTTAGCTAGAGCTATTGTTTGCTAACACCATATGTGCCATTGTTTACGTTCAGTTTTTCTTTTCTATAGTTGTTGTTGCTATTTAGTATTGTGCTGCAGTAGTTTGTGGAATTAACAAGTCATTTTGCTGGTCTAGATGATTACATTGGGACTAGTGAGGAGGAACATTCCCGAACAACGGGTGATGGCAGTTTTCCGTCCACAACATCGTCATCGAATCCAGAACGGACCCCAGCTCGACCACAGACACCAGCCGAAGAACCGACACCAACTCAACCACCAACGCCGAGTGCCATCACGACACCGCAGCGTGTGGTTCTAGGTAAGAAATAGAAATGGCAAAACGACTGGAATTGTGTTTAGTTTTTTTAAACCTTGGATCATCCATCGTCAGTAATTAAAATAAGCTATACCACTGTGTGGAAATGCTCTGTTACAAGTAAAGTCTTAGCTAGTAAGCAGCTAGTACAGTTGTGTGTGACTTCCTATCATATACATATATTTATATTCATTATCAACAGGCTGGACATAATGTAATTCACAATCATTGTAAACATCTAGGGCCAGAACTTTCTTTAGTTCACCTTACTGTTGTTCTGTTTATACATGTTATTCTTATATCCTTGTGTGACCTGTACCTGTCCAGTGTTTTTCACTTATTGCTAATTATTATCTTATTGTCACCCAGGCAAGAGGAAACGAGGAGGAGAGGATCGGGCCCAGCAGGAACGGCACCATGAACAGCACATGGCCCAGCAGGAACGGCACTTGGACTGGGCCAAAGCGTCTGCTGAGCGGAGATGGGAGTTGGATGCGGCCTTGAGAAGGGAGGAGGCCGCTCAAGCAGAGACCTTCAACCTAGCCTTCCTGCGCACTCTTGGCCAGGTGCTAGGGGGACTGGGCAGCCGACTGGGCAGCCGACTGGGCAGCCGACGTGGCAGCCGACGTGGCAGCCGACGTGGCAGCCGACGTGGCCCGTCTCCTCCGTGATACTTAAAATAACCTTAATAGTTATTGTACATATTATATATTTTTTATCTAGTTAATTTTTAAATGCAACATTTGTACTTTCTTGTTTATTTATTTTCTTTAAAATGTGCATTTTATATTTATTTTTACAATGCCATGTATATTTATGCTGGCTGCAATACAGTTTTACATTTTTTATTTGTATTGTTTAATGGCATGCCTTTTTGATACAACATTTTTTTTGTATTTTTATACTGCCATCAATAAAGTACTTCTTTGACTTATCTTATCTCTTGTTGATAATGAATTGCACCCAACAGAAATAATCACATAATCTTGATTTAGAGAAGATATAAACATACATGAATTTATAAAGCAATAACAAACACCATCAGTTAGGAAAAAGCCCATAAGATAAGTTAGTTTTAAGAGATTTAAAGCAAGAAATTGAGTTTGCTAGCTTGAGGTCTTCCTGTAAAACATTATTACATGTTTATTTTGTAATAGTATTAAGAATACATGATAAATACATAATACATGTAGTAGAAATTGCTCAATTGTAATACCCTCGTTCTACTAGACTCAAACAACACATTCCTTATATATTTCAAAGACGAGAGAACAAAAGAAGAAACCTATAACCCATTCAAGCAAGCTTTTAACATGTCTAGAAGAAAGATTGAGGTTATATTTTAATATATTATTTTATGTTGTGGATACTTTAGCCTCCATCCATGTTTACAATTGTCCACACTATTTTACACTTGCATTTATGAATATAGTTTTGCTGTGTTTTACACTTTAGTATTTATGTTTATAGTTAGCTTTGATATTCGCTTAATTGATTAGAAAGATTTTCTTTTCATGATCTGATATTTCCTCAAATGTTCTTATTATGGGGCAGTACTTACTGGTGCTTGAAATTCAAATATTTACTAAATATTCAATTCAGATAACAACATTTGTTTAAAACATTTGACAAACACATGTATATGAAAAAAAAAGATGTATTTATGTTCAATACAATGAATACAATACAATGCATATTTAGGTATTCAGGTAGCGCATCAAAACCTCTCTGATGTCAGTGCCCTCCTCCTCTGCACCTTGAGCCACTGCTACCCCAGGCTCTGCTGCTGCTGGTGCATTCCACCCATCATCATAGTCCTCTCCATGACTCTCGCAGAGGTTATGCAGAGCACAGCATGTTAACAAGCCACACACCAAGAAACAAGTAAACGATCGCTTCCACATCCTCCATTGTTGTGTGTGTTTTGTGAGTTGTGTCGCATTGAAGATGACGCCACTGCAGTTTTACCCAGCGTCGCTCCGCCCAAAAAGCCGATCGCCCCGCCTACACTGCGTTGCTACCCCAGGTCCTAAACTGTAATGGAAATGCGCCACGGCCTCGGACGGCCAGCGAGGCAGCCCGAGGCCTGAGCGAGGACGCTTAGGGACGCTTAAACGGGGCTACCCCGCTGCAGTGGAAATGTGCCATTAGAGGACGGCTTCATCCATCCATCCATCCATCCATCTTCTCCCGCATATCCGTGGTCGGGTCGCGGGGGTAGCAGTTCCAGCAGAGCCCCAAACTTTCTTTTCCCTGGCGACATCAACCAGCTCTGACTGGGGGATCCCAAGGCGCTCCCAGGCCAGCGAAGAGATATAAGCCCTCCACCTGGTCCTAGGTCTACCCCTTGGTCTCTTCCCAGCTGGACGTGCCTGGAACACTTCCCTAGTGAGGCGCCCAGGTGGCATCCTAACTAGGTGCCCGAACCACCTCAACTGGCTCCTTTCGACGCAAAGGAGGAGCGGTTCAACTCCGAGTCCCTCCCGGATGACCGAACTTCTCACCTTATCCCTAGACACCAGCCACCCTGCGGAGAAAACCCATCTCGGCCGCTTGTATCCACGATCTCGTTCTTTCGGTCATGACCCATCCTTCATGACCATAGGTGAGGGTAGGAACGAAAATGGCCCGGTAGACAGAGAGCTTTGCCTTCTGGCTCAGCTCCCTTTTCGTCACAACGGTGCGGTAAAGCGACTGCAGTACCGCTCCCGCTGCTCCGATTCTCCGGCCCATCTCACGCTCCATTGTTCCCTCACTCGAGAACAAGACGGGGGACGGCTTAACCCCTAGTTTCCACCGGGTCCGTCTGCGTCGTGTAACGGCTGCGCCGCGGTTTTGGTCCAGCCTCCTCCGGCGTCATACCCTACCGGGCGCGTTTCAGAAGCATTTCAGAAGCGGAGCGTCTTGCCTGCCGGCTCGCAGTTTCAGTTGATTTGAGCATATTTCCTGGACAGACTACTTTGTACAGACGAAGTTAATAATAATTGTAATATCCCAGTTATAAACGACATGAATCAAAGATGTGTTGCTGTATTTTAGTGGTAAAATCATCATCATTATTCTATATATATAATTTACACAGTGCCTGTAAACCGGAGGAGAACGCTGGCATTTCTCCTCCTACTTGAACGACTACGGAGGGATAGGGTCTGCAAAATGTGTTTGTGTGTGTGTATATATATATGCTATACCCTATATGCTCTGAACGTTCCACTTTCTGCCTGCCCGACATTACCTTACGGCTGCGTCGCGTCGAAAAATAGACTTCAATCCTATTTCGAGCGGAGCCCAGCGGTGAGACGCTTCTGGGACGCTTCTGAGCCGTAACGCGGCGCGTCTGGTGGAATAGCACCCATTGACTAGAGTGGCCGCGATCCTAGCGGACACTGCAGCGCAGCCGCAACGCGGCCATAACGCGGCGCAGACGGACCCGGTGGAAACTAGGGGTAAGGAATCAAATAGCTGAGGTGTCACAGACCTGTGCCAGTATGCCATTAAACTTCCCAGTGAGCAGTAGCGTGGCGTGGGGAAAAAATTAGGGGAAGCCAATAATACGTCCTTTCTTTTGGGTCGGGGTTGTGGTGATCAATGTAATAACGTAACCAGATGAGTGATTACAGCACCCGGTATCATTTTACACACATATCATACAGATGCAGGACTTACACACGCCTGTTATCTAACCGACAGATCCGCACGCACTCTCCAGCCCAAACTCTAATAAGCATCATTCACAAACTAAATCAGGAGACCTTTAACGTTTTACGTCCGATTCGCTCCTGTTTTCCTCGCTGTACACAGCTCCAGTTTGGGCATTGGCCTGTCATCAGATTGTATTTGTTGTTGCTGCTGTAGCGGAAGTTTAGTACAATTATTTTTGATTAAATACTCCACATCTCCACCCTCCATAATTGCACTTGCTTCAGTTGCTTGCTACTTTCTAACGGCGGTGAGAGTGATGCAGTGACGCTATCTATCTTCTATGGATTAGATTTATGATTCGAAAATTATAAAAGTAGGGTAGACATGTGGATATTATCCGACTGAACACAACTTGCATTTAGGTTCGTTTTCCACTGACCTTATTTCGAGCTATTTTCCTAAATCCTATGGAGAAATTCCATTGCCTTTTTGTCGAGGGAAACCGAGCGCAGCTTACTTCCGGATTTTAGGATGCGTCACTGCAACCCTAAGTTGATGCGATTTGATTGGATTGTGAGGCAAGGGAAGCCAGACGCCTCTGGCTTCCCTTGGCATGGCCCTGACCAATCACAGGTTGGCAGGGGCATCACGTGAGCCTCATCTGATTGGTCAATCCCTCCTTTTTTTTTCACCAAGGGAAGCCAGATTCGGCTGGCCTCCTCTCGCAACAGTGAGTGCAATCTACTGTTTCACCATAACATCTAGAGGGGCGCTGTTTGTTTCACTCTTTGTAAAATACTCAATGAGAATGGGGGAGAGACGGGCCGGCAGCAACACACAGCAAAGGAGAATTATCGAAACAAAACAAAGTGTTTTTATTTATTTATTTAAATTATAACTACAATCCGAAAAAACAGGGGAAGCCTGGCTTCCCTTGGCCTCCGGGAGAAAACGCCACTGCCAGTGAGCAGTGATGTAGTGGGCGTTGGACGCGGGGGTACGCCGTACCCCCACTTATTTGGAGCATGATCTTTTTTTTAATAGTCTAATAAATATAAAATTATTACCAGTCTTATCAGTTGTAAGTGTGTATTTGTTGTAATAATGACAAAAACATAATACATTTCACAGTAATTATAATAAAAAATAAAAACGATTTCCTTAAAAAATGATGATTCGTCACATCACGCTCGTGACCCCGCAGCGAGCTGGGGGTGTGTCAGTGACACACCCACGGCCAGCTCGCCGCCCGCCGGTTTTGCGGCAGCTCTTTCCCTCAAGAACGCTAATGAAAAAGCTCTATAATGGCAGGCAAACGTTTTTTACTTGACTTATTTTCTAAAAAGAATATAATTCACAAGAAGAAAGAGGCTAGCAGCACCGAAGCTACAAGTGAAGCTGCTACTAGCACTACATCATCAGAAGAGCCGCCTAAAGACGTGGATAATGCTAGCACTAACGTTAACGTTAGCTGCGCTAGCAACGTTCCCCTGGCTAGCTCAAGCTCACCTTTCCCAGAGGTATGGACGGAGGAGATGTGGCGGAGGAAACAAGAGGCATACCCGTGGATAGACTGCAAAGCTGGGAAACTGGGCTGCAAAGTTTGTTCATCCATTTCGGATTTATCAGCCTTCAAAACCCAAGGTGTGTGTGTGTGTGTGTTGCCCCGGCCACACGAGGACGAAAACGGTCGTTTCCGTTACTGTTTAGTGTCATATAGACCGTTCGGCCACACGAGGACGACCGAATACGGCACTAAACGACTGCGTAAACGATAACGGGTCCCAAGGTGGATAGAACGGCATATGCAACGGTCTGGGGGGTCCAACGGCTCCGTGTGTACGCCCTATACGATAATTTTCTGATAATGATGAGGCAATAGCCCCGCCTCTCCCCACCTCTGCTGCTCACCCCCGCGTCAAAGTAAACTGCACACTGAATTCAGATTATTTATCTTTCTCTCGATATGGACCTAAACGCGAGTGAAGTCTAATCTGACAGGACGGAGACACGCAGCTCTGCTCACCTGCAGCTCCTCCCGCTGTGATGCGGCGGTGAACGGAGTAAAACACACACTTCAAGTCCGATCATCACCCTTAGCTATTTTAATTACCTCTCAAACTACATAAACTAGATATAAATATGTTTATTTTTACTGTCGGCCGGGTCAC